TGTTCACATAGATGGGACTTCCTTTTGTCCAAGGCATAAACCCACACTTAATTCTGAGATTGCTGTTCCTTTGCTTGTTGGTTTGATTGTGCTTCGTGTTTGATAACTCAGAAAACATTTGGACTCCTCCATTGTTTGTGGTGAGGCAAGAGAAAACATATTAGGAAGCTGCTTTTCTTCCTTTTCCAGAGATGCTGGGAATCACCCACACCTCTGTTGGTGGCTTTGTTATTTTACCATTTGCATGATTTCGATTATTAAAGGTTACATGTATTTTGAAATGTTCCCCTGAGCTGGATATTTGATTTCAATATTTGTACAGTAGATCTTCTGGAGCTCTACAGCTAGAAAATTATGCTAGTTTTTTAGTACACAGAAAATGTAGCTCTTGACATTCTGGCAGATTTGCCAGACCTTTGCACACAGCCAGGCATTAGTGCTACCTATATATATATATATATATATATATATATATATATATATATATATATAAAAATATAATATTGAATGACAGCTCTTTGTTTTCCAGCCAGGGGGTTGGTCATGGGGACAGAACTCGCCCCGCTTCTGGATACTTTTGGGTTGGAATACTTGTATTTCATTGCAGTTTTGTAACAGTAGAAAGACTATTTGCTTCCTGTATGCCCATGGATGCACACCCCCACTTTGGAGGCCACTGCTTGGGAGCATGTGTGGCTTTTGTCTTGTGTCCTTCCTCTCCTGAGTTTTGTCATGTGTCTTAAGAGCTGGCAAGGAGCCATTCACAGGCACAGTTTGCAACCTCAGTGTCACTTTCTGAGCGTATGAGTCAACATTTTAAGTCTGTCTGTGACCTCGTGTCTGCAGAGCTAATTGGATTTTGGCTGAGTGGATTTGTTTCAGGGGATAGTTTATTTGTGAAAATAATTTATTTTTCTCAGGAGGAAGGGTAAGGGGAGGGAGGGATTGAGCTATCTGAACATTCAATTGAATTTAGCAAATAATGTTCTCTTTTCCTTCCCCTTCTCCCATGGAACAGGGAAAAAAAATCAGAAACAATCACTAAATCAGGAAATATTGTTGTGCTTGACCTGCAATATTGGTCTGACCCGCAGAGGTATGGCACTGTTAGCCAAGTGCTGGACTGACCCGGGGAGAGCAATGCTGATAATGTACTGCATCCATATCCCCACCATCACATTAGAGCCATTGAATACAAAACAGCACAATTTGAGAACAGAAAATAAATGGACTGCATAAAGTCTTTTGCCAAATCATATAAGAGGACATATCTGAGAAGGGTTCTATGCTCAGCTTATTTGGCTAATAGTCACATTACTGTTTCAAATACATTTCTTCCTTCAAAATAGAATCCTAGGGCTTGGAGAAGAGAGCTGTAGTGCCTCCAGTTAATTTTCCAGGCAGGTGAATCTGTGTCATTCCCAGTGCAGTGCCTCACTGCAATGCCCTTAATAGGGCTATTTGGTCCCCAGTGAGGAAAGCTCTTTTTTTCCAACTATGAAAGAAATAACATCAAAACCATGCTTTGTACAGTCACTATTGAGGAGCAAATCCAATTTTGGTTTTTTTTTTCAGTGTGAGGAAGTGCCCAGGGATGAGATGAGAAGTGGCTGCTTCTTTTGTGCTCCTGCATCTGCATCCACTTCTGGCTGCAGAATCTACTTTGTACACAGAGACTGGGGATGTAGGTCAGGAACGCTTGCGCCTTCCATGGCTGACCAGTTCTGTACTTATTTCTCTTGTCAATTCATTCCCCACTGTTCCTAGCCACCCTTCACAGAGCCTGGGCAGATAACCTTTGAGTAATAATCTGAAATTCAAATACAAAGAATTGACTACTGAACAACCCTAATATTTGAGAAAGGTTTTAAATTAAAATAGGTTTTTCTGTGTGCTGTTATTGGCCTGGCAGCTGTGTGTGTATGCTAAGTGTACTGAGAAAGGTAATATTAACAGAATGAAAAGGTCAAAGTTTTATAAAAATCCTTTAAAAAGTAAATAGGCTTGCCAAACTGAATTCTCCACAGGCAGACAGAGGTTAAGAACTGAGAACATATGGGTCTTTGGCAGGTCAAGTTGTGCATCTGTAAATGCCCTCCAGAAATACAAACACCAGACAAGTGTGGAGAAGTACAGTGATTGTGGCTAGCCAGATTCAGCTCCAGCTGTACCTACGGGCAAGCAAGCCAAAGCTCAACAGCTCCCGAGAGAGATATCTGAGGGCACTGTGCAGCGTGGAGACAGCACACCTGTGTCATGCCAGGCACCCCAGGAACAATGGAGGAGATGCACGGGGTAGTCATTAGAGGCGTCATGAACTGGACAACACAACTGATTTAATTAGATTTATTTCTGGCTGAGCTTAGAGGTACAGCATAGCCCCAATGTACATGGCGGGACATATTGGGCGTGCTAGAGTGAGGCAGTGGGTGGCAGGCTGAGAATGCATCCTGCATGGGGGAGCACACATTACAGTCACAGAATCTGCCAAGTTGGAAGGGGCTTATGAGGATCGAGTCCAACTCCTGGCTCTGCACAGCACCATCCCCAAGAGTCACACCATGTGCCCCAGAGTATACCAACACTGTGTGAACTCTCTCAGTGACCACTTCTCAAGGGAGCCTGTTCCAGTACCCAACCTAACCCTCCCCTGGCACAACTTCAGGCTGTTGCCTCGGGTCTTGTCCTGGGAAGGGTCTGCAATTGCACTTGCCTCTCCCTTGAGCCCACTGCTCTTGTGGCAGAGCATTTTCCTTCCTGTGAGGTTGACTGCAAACAGTGAGGTAGCTCTGGCTAACACAGTGTCCCACTTCCCCTTATTGTTCTTTCTGTACAGTCTCACAGCCTTTCTCAAGGGCATCTTTGTTGTGACAAATTGCACATTTTGGAAAGTACCTTGGTACGGCTCTGGGCACAGTGGGGAGAGCCAGCTCCATGCTGCCTCATTGGGCTATTGTGAACTCCCCCACTGTCATTTTCTGTTACTTCGCCACTGGTGAGTGCATGTCCCCATGGCTTGTGGGCTTTTCTCCCCCACCACTTTACTACAGCCTAAGTGACTTATTTCGGTGCTTTTTCAAAGACCCCCACATCCACACAGCCCAAGCCAGGTGATTGGCAGCCAGGCACTGCCCACATGCCCTGAGGTGAGGTGCTAACCAATATTAGCAGGTGAAAAAACAGTTTAATTGAGGCTGTGTAGGCAGGTGGACCTGAGCCTTGGTTGAAGTCCTGGTTGGGCAGTTTGTGTGCAGCTGGATATTTGGGCCAAGGTCTCAGCGTGCTCCCTGACTCCCTGAAGAGCAGAAGAGATGGAATGGGAAGGCACATAACAGGAGGAGATATATAGCCTTAGTTTTTGTTGCAATTTGAGGTTGCACTGTTAACGCACGTTTGTTTCCAACCACAAGAGTGGTTGCAAAATGGTGGAGTCTACATGATCCCTTTCCTAACTCTCAGAGATGTTTTATGAGGTTTATTCCATTACTGTTCAATCCTCACAGGAAAGGGGTAAAAAGAGGAGAATTTATGTCATCACTGACTGTTAGTGTCACAGTGTTAATTAAAAGCAAACAACTCAAACGGCAGATCTTGGACAAAAATAAGTTTAAACATTTTTTCTATAGTTTACAGGAGGAAGTAAGTCCTTTAGGCATGCCTACTGACATTTGTGCCTTTTCACCATACCTCATGTTGCTTTAAAACCTTCTGTTCACCTCCTGCTTTTCAGGACATTGTCCTCCTGTTAAGGAGGTATGTCAACTCTGACACAGAAATATGTCAGTTCAAGACCCTCTGTCCCTTAAACCTTTCAAGAGATTACTGGCAGGAGAGTTAAACTGATCTGCCAGTTAGACCTGAAGAGAGCCCACTGCCAGGCAGCTGGACTGCACTTCCTGGCTGTGCAGGAGCTCCTCTGGGGATATGAGTGGCAGTGTGATACCCTGGCACCATGATGCCATTTGCATCATCAGGTTACTTGCAGGTGTAAGACAGTGAAAAGGGAAAATAAAGAAAAAGTATTAGTAATGGCTGTGAAAATTGAAATTTTATTATCTGTTCACTGTATACAAAACACCATTCTGCATAGTGATAACTCATTTGTTGTACAGTTGACAGTGCACATCAACAAACAAGTGTTCAGAGGTATCCACTAAATGGCAAGGGCAGTGGTGGCAGTGGCAGCACACTGGGGTGCTGTGCCCGCTGCGCACTGTCGGATGAAGTACTTCACAAGCACTTGATATGCCACTAATATAAATGGGCTAACAAGCATCTACCCAGGAGCCAAATTAGGAATGAAGATGGAGAGAGCAGAACTAATGTATCTGATACACAATTGCCAGAACAATTAAGTTTTACAGAGGTGTCTGAGAGGATCCATATTTTTTTTAAACACTTCAAATTTTAAAACTATCAAAATTTAATGATAAATAACAGAATCTCACAAATCTTTTGGGGCAAAATGCTCCACATTTATTTACATATTAAATGTGTTTAATACAGTTGTAATGGACATAGTGTATAGTAACATCTGACAGCAGCAAGACTTTTAAGGAACCCAACAATTACTACTATTTATCATGCAGCTATCTATATATACACAATTTGTTTTAAAAAAAAGTACAAAAATTTTCTTGTAGGGTTACATACAAGGTATAAAATGCAAAAAACAAACTGAAAATATACTCTCACAGAGAACTCTATGTGAAAGGGACAGTATGGTACCTTTTTGTACTTGTGCAAGCAAAACTAGCTGGACAGGAGTTTGCAATGTCTGGCCAAGCTCTGCAGGGCCTGTGCTAAAGCTGCAAGCTCCAGTCCCACTCCTGGCTGCGGCTGGCTCCTTCCCAGTTGTGGCTGTGTGTGACACTGAGCACCAGAATGTTTGGCATGATCACGTGGAGCTGGCAAATCCCAAACCCTGTAGCAAGAGTCATCTATTTCCTTTCAATAACCAGCAAGGAAAATACATAATGCTGTGCACTCACTTCTATATGTTTAATAAATTACATGACAAAAAAAAAAATGATCATTATAAACATATTCCTCTAATTACATCTTATTTCTTAAATTCAGAGCAGCCCAGCCCTTTTGCAACAATTTGAGCTTTGATCACAAGCACCGTATGACCTAAAAAAATCGCTTCATGATTCTCAGAGTTGTGCATTTATACTCTTCAAAAGTACTTTACCACCCCAGGGGTTCTGCACCTATTCTGGTGTTGCCACCTAAAAACCAGCATTTCATTTTACACATGCAGTGGTACTTTTATTTTTTTTTATATATAATATATTTTGTAAGTAAAAGTTTAAAAGCTTCCTTAGACATTTGGAAGCCTAAGTTCTTCAGAATTTAAAATCTCCCCTTAGCTTGCTTCCTCTCTCCTCTCCTCTCCTAGCACCTCCTCCTATGCACTTCCATTAGCTGAACTTTCTTTCAGAAGCGTTCAAAAACCAAATAGTTTAGGAGACCCTAAGGAACTGCCCAAGCATTTAGAACTCTGTTTTAAAGAAATTTACTACAAAAGAACAGAAACAAAACAGAAAAAAACCCACTTTTTCCACTAGATACTGATACAAACACATAACAAAAGAGTATAAAAATTATTAGTTTAAATATATACAAACTCTTTTAAACTCAAATACTGCTTCAAAGGTTCTGAGGGTATAGACAATGAGGTGAAGGGGACACTTTTATGCAGAATATATTGCAACAGCCTGAACAGTACTGTTAACACTATTATACCTTGAACTTTCTGTAGCAAAAATGTCATTAGTATTCCAATGTGGAGCGAGATTTCTGCATCCCAAACAATCTGATCACTTGTCAGCTGAACTCATTCTTTTGGACTTGATGAAGGCCATGCCATGTGTTCTCATGTGAGTGTTTAAGGCCGCTTCAGTTTCAAAAGTCTTTGCGCACACTTTGCATCTTCTGTCCGATGCCGCACTGTCAGACAAGTCATCCTCATGATTGGGTTTGTTTTCTTGCTGATTATCCTCCCCAGACCCATTCTGTTTTGATACTGGCTGAGGCTCCTTCAGCTTATGTACGATGAAGAGGTGTCTGGAAAGGGACACGTGAGATGTGTAGCAAAGTCCACATTCCCTGCATTGGTATGAAGAGCCATCGGATTTATGCTGAGGAATATGTTCATGAAACTGGAGAAGATTTTCTGTTGTAAAGCCACAAACTGCACACTTATGAACTTTAAAAACATTTATCTTCAGCTTCTTTAATGGCTGAGTGATTGCACCTCGTGGAGGCCTGAACTCCATCACAGGTTCTTCCAATTTACGCTTTGGACTAGGAACCTAACAAAAGGACAGAAATCATGTAAGCATAAAAAAAATATGCAGTTCTTTTCATAACTATTCCTGACTTGCTAATGTCAGAACATTTCCCTTGGCAGATTCTAGAACAACTCTGATAAATAATCCTTTTGGGTCTCATCTTCATAGAAGATGAGACATTTATGGCATCAAAGTACCTGTATGTATTTAAAGATCCTGAATATATACCCACAAAAAAAATCATTCTCAGTGACGGAATGAGTGTTCTAAGTGATTACCTTTGTGTCTTCTTTTACTTCCCTTTCTTCCACATTGGTAGATTCAGTCATTTCTTTCACATCAGGGTCTTTAATTCCGTGCATCAACTGAATATGTTTTTCCAACATCAATCTCTTGGTAAAAGTACGTCTTGAATCTGGGCAGTGCCTGCAGACACACACACATACAAACACACACAAACATTCAAGTGTCATGCTTAACAAGTTTCTTAACAAGTGCCTTGTGTAGAGTGGCTGTGTATTTGAGAGACTCCTGAAAACCAGGTTTCCCAAAGTGGAACTGCAAACGCTCAGCTCAGCCAAGTTTTGGATTGTAGACTTTACATACTGCACTCTCAGGAGACATACATGTTTCTATAGGTAGGACAAACTGATCTGGCCTGTCTCGAGCATCTGAATGAATGGGACATTTGCTATCACACAGTTAAGGAAAGATATTCAATTAACAATGGTTTTTGTATTCCATTTCTAAATATAAACAGAACTTACGAGCACGTATAAACCTTCCTAATGCCTTTGTGCTTGATACGATTGTGCCGACATAAACTGTGGGATGAACTGAAAGATTTGTCACACTGCCGACAAGGATGTTTCTTCATTTGCTTTAAAAAAAAGAAGAGAAAGACTTTCATTAAAAAAGCTCAGTAAAAGTAGTGCGTGTGTTGAACCTTTTGATAAATAGGAAAGAAGCATCACTTACCTGTTTTTGGTACTGTATTTCATGTACACCCCCCCTTCAACTACACTGCACAAGTCAGAGCTGGACCTCTTTCAAAGCAGTGTGGCCCCCATGAGCTATACAGACACACACCTGTCCCCAGCTGTAAACTGGTGTCATGGACAGTGGGTGAAGAGAATCTCTTTCCACCAAAGAAACAGGGAAGATCAAAGGACTATTTCTGAATCAATAAAGACAGCAGGATGAGGGGGTTGCTTTCCCTTCCCATCACCAAACCGTGTCCTCAGCCACTAACTAGGAGCTCCTCAGCCACATACAAGGAGCGGTGAAGAGCACAGAAGAAGGACCAAACCTGAACCTCACAGACACTGACACACTAACAGGGTTCAGGAAAGTGATGACAAAATGAGCAGTATGGTCTGATGACAACTTGATGGCCATCTGTTTGGGAAATTCTGTGGGGTTGATGTAGCTGGTCAAGTGGAAGGAAAAAGTACAGGAAGAAACTGAGAAGGGCTGGAGCAGCCACACACCGTAGCTGTGTGGCAGTGAACACAGGCATCAAGCCTGCGGTCAGAACAGCAGTAGGAGAATGATGCTCAGCAGTACCTGGGAGCACTATGTGGGGTAGCCAGCTGTGACTCCCCCCTGCACCCCCGCCCCAAGCTTGTTCTAAATTCCTTGGGGAGACTCAAGATAGAGACCCAAACAGGGTTTTGGATGCATTTGTTTTTGCAATGGCAGCCAAACCAAAAAGAACTGAAAAATTAGTTCTGTAATTAAGTGCAGCATGATCTGTTATACAGCATCTTATCTTGATAGGAAGAGGATGATCAATGAACAAGCTGGAGTTGGTAATTCGTACTTAGAAAACATCTGCCCTTTCACAGAAACACACCTCTACACATGTCCGAGGAGCTCAGCATATGCCTGCCTGGTGGAAGGCAGACACACACGATCCAGTTTCAGACAGGAGTTGTACAATTCTCCCCTGTCTGGGCTGGTAGCTTTTTTTTTTTTTGCAGCAGCACTCTTAAGATCAAGCAGAGAGTCACAGCAAGGTGGCTACAATATTTCCTACCCTACAGCTGGCTCCCTTCATGCAGGATCCTCAGGAAAGGATCAGAAAATGTGAATCTGTCTGTCTGTGTGGACAGTTCCAAATAAGGGCTGGAACCTTAAGGATCTGTCCAAAGAGGATATACATGGCAATACCTCTCCTATGAATACCTCTGCATAATCCAGCCTGGGATCAGCTAGGGGTTACAGCTCTTTCACTCTGGTCCTGCAAAAGCAGAAATTAGAAGTTTGAAACTAGTATTTTCATATACCTTGCATGACAATGGATTTTGTGAATAGCACGTGAATTGCTTAATTACAGTTTTAAACAACCATTCTGAAAGGATCATTTTAGAGCATTTAACTGACACCTATCATTCTTAAGAAAATCAGACTGTAAATTAGTTCCTCTATTTATTAAAGCTGTATCATGTACTTGTTTATCTTATGCTCATTTCTATTCTCTCTATAGTAAAAGTTTAGTTTTTCAACATAGTCTTTTTGATAGCTAACAATTACTAAGAATTTTGACAGGTTGGGAAAGAATGTAGCATCTGATCTGTACTCCCCATTTCTGACAGACATGGACATGTATTTCCATTCATTTTAGTATCTGTGTGCTTCCTGCGTTGTTGAAGAAACTGCTTGAATGGGGATACAAACCAGCACCTGAATGGAAGCAATGAAAGAGCCCTTCAGGCCTGGATTTGAGTGCAACAATTATGTAATATTTCATAATAAGGGCTGTTCTTGAGGTAACATTGCACATAAACATCAGAGAGAGAAAGACACAGATTTAAAGTTAATATTTAGAAAGCATTATTGGTATGTTACTAACCTTCATTTACATGCCTTTGGCTACTCTGCTGTGGTTGGAATCAGACTGAATATCGCTCTCTAGTTCACTCTGAAGTGACAGTTTCATTGGGAGGTTGTGCTGCTTTGTTTTTAAGAACTGCATAAATGTGCAATGCATTTGGTCTTAAATGCATTTCTGATTGCCAGTAAAAGCTCTGCTGAGTTTAAAATTTGGGCAGCAGGAAGCTGAAGGAATGGGGTGGGAGTTACTGGAGGCAATGATGCTGGGGTGCTATTTGCTTGAAGTTGTCCTAAGAAAATTGAAGATGACACTCAGTAGTCCAGCATTTTCAGCTTTTCCATAAAACATTTATAAACAGAATAAAATCATTCGCAGAACAGCTTTAGAGATAATAACTGTAATAGAAATCTCTGGAAATGTGCAATCATTTATTACAGCACATTAGCATCCTGAAAACTATGGATTTTCACTCAGTGTGGTTCTCCTCCACTTAGACAAATCGGCCTATTATTCCTGCTCTTTTGCTGTACTGCAGCACAGTTTAGCTCCCTGCTTCCCAGCTGAGGAAAAGAGTCAGAGCATTGCCACCAGCACACAGCAAAGGTGAAGACTGGCTGGGCAGGTGGCTGCCACAGCTAAGCAGGGTCACTAATGCCTTCCTGACTGCCAGTCTTTCTAATTTCATTTAACTGGAAATACTGTTGAACGCAGGAAGAACAGCAAACGGTCTCTCTGCTGACATGAGGATGCAACATTCCCATATTTCACTTTCAATCCATTTTAAGTAAGATATCTCAAATTCAGCTGCTTTAAGTACGAAATTCAACTTGTTAACTCAGCTGAACTTTCCAGTACAAGATTAGAGCAACAGCTCAACTGCGGAATGTGTCTGCCTTTAAATGAAATACCAGTTGGCACTCACTGGACCAGTAAAACATGACTGAGTCTCCACTCCCTGAGGCTATCAGGCACTGAGAACAGAATAGAATCAAATTATTTAAGCTGGAAAAGATCTTTAAGATTGGGTTCAACCGTTACCCCAGCACTGCCACATTCCCTACACCACTGTAAAGAAAGGGAACTGAGAAGGCACAAAGAAGAAATAAGAACCTGGAACAGATTAGATGGCTTGGATGAAGTACAGCAGTATCTCTCACTCAATGAACCAGCCTACAATTGATTTTCTCAGTAGAATGATGCAGAAACTGAAAAAAACTAAGCAGCCAAAGCACAAAAGATGAAATAAATGGAAGAACAGTGAATAATAATGCTGGGACTTAAAGGAATTATTTGCAAAAACACAAATGGAATTTAGAAACAAACAATTCACCTTTCAGGTTTAATTCACCTTTTCATAATTAAACATATTCCTTTACCTTTCCATGTTCTTTTCTCATGTGGGAGATGTAAACATCTCTCTGAGTGAAGAGCCTGTCACACTCCCAACATGTCCATCCAGGACTAGCGACTTTTTTAGGTTCTGCTTTCTTTATGGGAGAAGGAGTCTTCTTCTCCAACTTTTCTGTTCCGTTGACAGATTTTGTGTCCTCCTTGTTGTGACTGGCTGAGTTTTGAGTTGTTGGTTTAGTACTGAGAGGCAGATTTATCCCCAGGTTTGGTGGCCCCTCAACACTTTTCAAAGTTCCATGCATAGACTACAATAAGAGAGAGAGAAAAAAAGGCACAAAACTGACAAAGACATACACAGCTGTACACAACCAAAAGCCTTCAGCTACTTCTTTGGCATACTATCATCATCACATCACTCTCGTAAAGAAAGGGTTAAGTAAATGCAAGATTTAGCACAACCCAACAATAACAGACACTGTATGTAGGTATTTTCACAAAAAAATAAAGAGACTTACTTTAGAGGTTAAGTTGCAGTTTAACAGGGAGGAAAAAAGGGCTCAAGCAGTACTTTATGTTAAGTTTAATTTCTTGCTTTACTTACCTGACACGTGAGTTAAGCATCCCCATTCCAGACTATGTGACTGGAGTTTTCCAAGAAGGAAAGGCTTTTTTACTGACCAAATGTTGGCTTGGCATATTGGTAAATAAGATAAGGCAACTCTGGAAACATTACATGGCTATGTAATTTAGGATATATTAACATTTTATGCTGAGGCTGAGGTTAAGCCCTGCCTTACTCTCCAGTCAGGTTATGAGCATGCTCATTTAGGACTACCTTGCTAGCAGTCCTTAGAATCCATGGTGTGCAGGGCTGACAGGGCCCCAGATGAGAGGGGTCTGACCAGTTATTTTCCAGCCCCAGAAGCTCCTGGGTGGGAAGTCTTCCTCAGGGATTTAAGTCTGCACTTTAAGTCAGTGGTCAGTAAAAAGGGAAGAACTCCTCCTTCCCCCATTTCCAAACCAGTTTTGTGTGCTGGTGTGACACCTGAGCCTTCCAACAACATGACTTGTCCAGGGGGCTTCAGCTGTGTGTCCAAGTTCCACACGTGGATGTGGACACAGCAAGAATGAGGAGGGTTGTGGGCCAGCAGGGATGACTGCAGCCCAGAGCTAATCCACTGCTAAACAGGGACCCACAATTGAATTCCCATGTCTGGAAGACTTTTCCTTTATCAGGATAGTGTTCTGATCCTCTCACCTACTGACCCTTACTATAATCCTCTTGGATGATATATTTAACCAGCCCAAATGGAATTATTTTTCCTTCAGATAAAACCTATTCAATCCATTCTTGATTCTGGGAATACAGGAGTATCAATGTGATACTCCAGCAACAAGTCCTTTTGCAAATACTTTGGCTCTTGGGACAGTGCAAAGTGCAGCGTGTGTAGTAAAGGAGGAGGCTGGCTTTAGTATCCCCACAGGGGAGCAGGAAACGAGGCTCCTGTACTCTCAGGCAACTGAAGCTGACCTGGAGATTCCATTCCAGCCTAACCTGTAAGCAGGTAAAATGTTAGTGCTCAACTTTCCAAATATCCTGTAAATACAATACTTGAAATTTCACTTCTTATTTGAAACTACACCAAGAGCATTAAAGCATCGCATGGAGTCCCAGTGCTGGCTAAACAGGGAGCATGATACCTCTGGGCCAGGCCAGGCCAGGGCAGTCCTTCACCATCTGCTCTCACTGGCTGCTGGAGATTTTCTTGTAGCAAGTCATTACAGGAAAATAAGATATACATTTTGCCATCAAGAAATACTGACGTCTGCAGGAATTATTCTGGGTTATTTTCTGTAGCTTTAAATAATCTCCTCCTGAGCTTCCCTCTGTCCCTTTCTGTCCTACTTTCACCCAGGTCTGTCTCTGCCTTGATGGTTTATGTCTAGACACACCAAACCATTACTTTCTGTGCAGCTCAGCTCTGCCTCTGTCTGGCACTAGTACTCTCCCTGAGTCCTTTTGTGCTGTTATCCTCTCCCCAGATCCTTTTCTGCTTTTATCTATAAGCTGTTACTGGTTTTTTTCAGTCCCCCTTAACTGCATTCCAATTTACACTGCTTTGCTCCAGTCCCTACTGCTATACACACATCCAAAATGCAAAACCAGCAATACTGCACAGGTATTCTCTAATCCCTAATTTTAGTTTCAAAAATGCCTGAATCATTTATAGTGAATCATGCTAAAACCCCACTGGTTGAAAGTCCAAATACTGGCACGGAACTCTAAAGCCAAAGAAGTTAAGTAGTGCCCAAGTAACTGAACATGGCTTTAAAATGTGAGATGCTGAGCACCCTGATTTCTGTAAAGACAGCTTCTGGCCCTAACTGCAGTCAGATCAAGTTCCTGAAATTGTTGTCTTCAGGTCTTACAGAAGTACTTATGAACAGATATAAAAGTACTTTTCCAGTAATATCTGAGTCAAGAAATACTAAGTACAGAAACAAGACATACACTGCAATACACAGAATTTGCCTATATAGAAAAAAAAAACCCCAACCATCTGAGTAGATCAAAGGAAACAGAAAACAGAGTTTTGCATTGCTGCGTGAGAGGAGCATCTAAGATATCTTGAAGTAAACATGCAGGTTCAGAAACAAAGGAAAAATCCAGTCCTTGTATTTCTGAACATCTTGGCTCAGCCCTTCCCTCATCTCCTCGGAGTTTTTTTTCAAAGCACACATGTTCAAGTTCATATGTGAATACACACAGATAACCTCTACATCTAGCAACATACTGCTTCCTGGTGAATTCTGAACATTAAAGGTTTGATTTTGTGATGGACTCAGCATTCTCAGCTCCTAAAAACTGGAATAATACTTAGAATACTGTATATGAAACCCAGTATTTGTTAGGATCAGACTTGCTGAGAAATTCCCAGTATACCAAAATCAACATTATTATAGAAAAACCCGGTTGAGTCATCACCAATATGCTGAAGACCAGACAAAATATAACATTTTGACATTTGAGAACAATATTCACAGATTACCCTCTCAGAATTATTAACATCTCTCTCAGCACTCTTCTTGTTATTCTGTGCCTTTTCACAGTATGTTCTCACAGCATATATTGCATGACAAATGGTATCATGAAGGAAACAAGAGAAGATGCCTACACACCTTGATATGATCCATCATAAGCTGTTTCTGTGCATATAGAAGAGAACAGTCTGGACACTTGAAAACAGACACCTTCTGGTTTTCAATGTGCTGATCAAAGTGGCGATAGAGCAAAGGTTGTAGAGTAAACACAGTGTCACACATAGAGCATTTATATATTATTCTAAAAACAGAAGTATAATAAACAATGTCAGTCATGTTGATGATCTGTTTCCAAGAATCATGTTTTTTCTCATCACAGATAAGATACAATATGTCTGATAAGATCTGACATGTTTAAGCAATCATTTCACACTGCCTGAAAAAAATTAAACTAATCCAAAACACACTCCAATTTCAAAATATGGGAGCAGTAGAAGAAACAGGAAAATAGAAAAAAATAATTTTAAGAGCATGCAACAACAGGATGTACCCGTTACAAATACAACAGCAACATCTGCTCAGGATACTCTGACAGTTCAACACCTTCCGTTTCTGAACTCACATTGTAGCTAAATGATAATATCCCCGCTCCAGGTTACAAACGCAGTATATTTTAAGGGAGTGACTCATTCAATCATAGTTACTAACATACTTCAAGATAAATACACTTTTGGCAATGTTCATGACTTTGAGGCTCCTGAATACCAAACCTAGACTGTTAATGCCCTGACGCTCCAACAGCGCAGGATGGGATTTCCCTGCTCTGCTATTCCAAGCCTTGATGAATCTGTCATGGGAATGTAGAGACACCACCAAACGCTTCCTCTCTTGGCGCACATGTGACTTTTAGGTCCCTCAGCCTCCTGGCCTTACAGCAGTTTTCTAACCACAGATCATCAGATGAGAGAGAAATGGAAACCATCTAATCTGTAGTGCTGCAGAGAGACTTTAGCTAAAATAAAAGTAACCCAACCACAGGTGTTCAGTACAGCAACAGCCAATTCCCATCTTTAAGAGTAACTTCCACTACAAAAAAACCAACCCTCAAATCCCACTCCTGCTGAAGTGCTAAATCTTCTCATTAGCCACATAAATGTTCCCAGTCCTTTCTATATCCCTCTAAGTAATTATCAGTGATAGTGCATTGCTCCAAAGCTCTAGGGATCACTCTGCACTGTGTTTTGAGATGACAAGAACATGGGCATTCCATGTTCAAGCTGTCCTGTAATTCCAAATGAAAAACAATACACTTCTTCATATTAACTGGGAAAGGCTTTGTTTTTGTGGTATCAAGTGGTCCCAGTTTCTCACATATGCCAAGATAAATGTATTATTTACACAGCATCCTCTGATGATCAATGTACTATTGTCCTGCTTTCTCTGGTGAACCCTTCACTGCAGCTCTGTAGTGAATCTGCTGCAAAAAAATTCAATGTCTTTCTGAATTTATTGGATATAAAACCTGTAACTCTCCAAAAAGACCACAAGCTGAATCTCTGTAATTTCTATGGCAGCTGAAGTACTTTACCCTCACAGAAGCAGAACTATCTGGAGTAAAGATCCAAACTTCAGACAAGTCTCTGGGCAGACTGTACTCACTTAAATTCATACCAACACACCTCACAGTATGAGTGATAACTATATACAAATGGAGTATTTCCTTCAGACACAGCAAAAACATGATTTTCAATCCTTAACAGCATACATGCAATCATGTATGCTGGTTTTGTTGGTTTTTTTTTTAATTTAATTGAACTAGTCAGTGTTTAACATGCAACTGCCTAAAATGCTGTTCAAAGCTTAAAGACAGTTGGCTTCCACAGGATGTCATTTACAGGGATGCTGGAATAAGTCAGGCAGTTCATCCCATCCCATCCCGACCTGTCCCACTGCCAGGTTGGTTACTCAGCACTGCTCCTGCCCCACAGTACACACCAAAGCAGGTGCATGGCCTTTTCACTCCCCAAAAATCTGTTTAACGAATTCATATATAATCTTGGAATAAATACAGGTATTATCTCACAGGAAAATACTTTCAGTCACATAAAAGACATTTAGCATTTGGAAAGTTTGTGCACCAGAGGATAGTATTCCTCCTTCTCAAATTTTTTTCTCTAGAAAAAGGAACTTGTGTGATAATACACTTTTTACCAATAGTACCATAAATTTCTATAATTTGGCTTGATAAACAAGAATTTCACCAGTATTCAAAAAGAGATCAGCCATGAAAAATATCTTAGTGCCATTCCTAGACACTGTTTACTGAAAAAAAGGAAAACCAAAGCTTAGAGTATGTTGTTACAGGAGAGATCTTCTCAAAGTTGAAAGACAAGACAGCCATCCATTTCCCTATATTAAAATAATCTCATTTCATCCCACTGAGAATCCCTGCATATAAAAGTCATTTTTCAAATAGTTTAGTGCATCTGTTCTGCAGCAACTGTTTGTAATGTGATTGTAAATCACACAGTTCCAAGTAAATGGCAGAAGCAGGCAGCCAGATTCCCCAGGAGCCCAATTCCTGTAAACAGAGGAGTGTGACTTGCTACAGAGTCCCTCAGCAGCCACGGGGCCAGAGGTCCTGGCACTGCTGAAGCCACGGCTTCACGTGACTGTGCCACACACCTGGGCTCAGGAATGAGGCTGGCAGGCTTGCAGTGGGTGCCAGTCACGCAGCCTGGGTGCTCCATGATGCAGCACAGATAACCCAAACGTGAATGTACTGCCTCAAATACAACCTGTCAGCTCTGCTCAGAACTAGGCAAGCCAAGAACTCTGACCACTGCAAGGGCTGGAAAAATCCTACCGGTCACTCTGCATGGATTTAAGGCAGCATCGTGATTAAAACTGGCAAATTTAAAGGAAACACCACTTCTTAAGAGGAGTGCTCAGCTATGGATTCTGTGACTTATTACAGTAGCACCTAATAAAATTTCATTTAGTTTTTTTTTTTAAATCAAAGTAAATGTATAAAGCAATACAATTGTAAGTGCATCTATATGGAAAGAAAACTAATGCTAAATACTTAATTCATGAACCTGATCAGAAACAATTTGGCAGATCCAACCACAGTTCGGTTTTCATATGTGTAGTATCTCATACAAACACTGATCTTAATCTTTTAGATTTCTTTAATGTGAACTGTGGGAACCTGAAAAAACGTTTTAAACACTGGTATCTCACAGCTTCTGACTGATACCATACTGAATTAAAACAATGTATCATTTCCCACTAGGCAGAAATGCCTTCATTTGGTATCAAACATGGCAAGTTTGTTGCCATTTTGCTTGGATGGAGTGTAAACAAAGGTAAAAAATCTCTTGTTCAGACGTTAGAAGAAATAGTGAGAAACTGAACTCTTAGGAACGCTGGTTATTACATCACATGATCCCTTCTACGTTCTTGAGCCAGCAAATTGTCACCATGCTGGTGCTCTGTGCACACCCCAGAGAAAACATGGAGCTCAATCCCTGACTGTTTGCTCTGAACAGAGCATTCGTAGCAGTGAGAAAGAGGCAGATGGAGGACAAGGGGTGCTCAGAGAGGCTCAGACCCAAAGGCTAGAGGAGTCTGCACACACAGAAGCACCTGCTGCCTTCAGCAGAGCTCACCAGTGTCCAACAGCTTTAAAAAAAGACTCTGAAGCTGAGCCCAGCCTGTGCCTTGTGTCACCACCTTCAGCAAACTACCACCTTTACGGCCAGCTTTCCTAGCTACAGAATGAAACCACTTCTGCTTCAAGCCAGAAAGAGATTACCTATTGGAGAAAAGCTTTTACAAACAGATCAAATCACTTTTTCTCAACTTTTCAACCACATTATGAAAATCACCACATAAGCACTGACAAGTCTTAGCAGCTCTTTTTGGAATCACATTATTTTAATTCACAGTAAAAAAGTAAACGAGCTAAACAGATTAAAACATCAAAACGAGCAACACTCTGACTACCTGTCCAAATAATTACATTTTGCACTCACACTCTTGTAGCATGCAATGCTTAAAGACCTGTTAGTGAATTCAGAGAAATGTCACCTTTGCCCAATGAACTGTCAGCTGAAAAATCATGAAAGCACTACAGAAATCCCACATTACCAGCAGGCTGACAAACTGGTGGATGTCAGAGGTGACTTTTACGACTGCAAGCACAGGACAGAATGCAATTTCACAGGTCATTCAAATGCAGGCAAGTGCAGTTAGAAGATGAATTTTGCTTACTTTGGTTCGCCTATCTTGATACCCGGGTGTTGTGTGTAGGCATGGGAGTGCGTGCTGGGAGCAGATTTAAATGCCATGGGACAGATAGGACACTTGTAAAAGACTTCACAGTGACAACCTTGAATATGAGACTTGAGTGCCGCCACGTCAGAGTACACAACATTGCAGTGCACGCAGCTGCGGAGAGAGCGAAGGAGAGTCAGTGCAGCCCTGCCCCAAGCAGTGCTGGACATAATCAACATGGATTTTCAAGCAGAGGGAAGAGAGAAACACACATTGATAACAACTGGATAAAACTGCATTACTCTGTCAACTTAAAGAACCCCATAAGAATCAACATAGCCAGTGATTTGTGGATCACAAAGTAAGGGGGAAGAAATTTCACACATTCTCATTTGAAAATCTAAGAGATGTAAGGTCAGAACATGTTTTTATGTTATTACAATACAACAGATAGAAAGGTGGATAAATACTCTATTGATTTCACAAAAAAAGCTTAAATCTTCTGCAAATTTGGAAGGCGATCTGTCAGAACACATTTTCATCACATGCAGGGTATTGTTTAAAGTACACCACAGCAATTTAGAAACTACCACCAAATGGAAAACCAGTAAGGAAAGTATTTTCACCATTTCCCTTGTTTAGATTTAATTAAGATATACTGGTAATGATTTTCTGTACATGTAATCAAATCAGCACTTGGATTGAAACTCAGGAAAACGAAACCAAATCCCTACTATCAGATCAATATATCATATGGGAATTCAGAAAATATTTTTCAAAAACATACTTCTGCTGTGTCGAAAATTAGTGACCTTTCTGCATCTATTCTAAAATGAGATAATTAAAAAATCAAATTAATATTAGAACATAAGAATTTTTATATACACAACGGTCGCCTTTAATGCCCTATATCTCAGGTACCAGATGCTCCCAAGTCAGTCCAAGAACACAGTGCAATCAGCAATTACCTGTCAAATGAGACAATATCTTATTGATCAATATTTTGCATTAAGACTTTTACAAACTTTTTAAATGTAGAAGACCTCCACCCTTCCAGAATTTTAATTTTAGCATGGCAGTATGATTGCTGTCATATAAATATCAATTTAATTTTTCAATAGTTTTAGTGCCCTGATGATAGCAATAAAGCAGGAAATACAGTTCTACATTGCATTCAAGGATCCCTTTTTATTTTTAACATTTATCACCCTTGAATTTTATGAAATGTCATCCTTTCTTTTTCTGGGCATTTAACTTAAACTCTTAATAATATTCATTGAGTTTATACCCATCTGATCTCTGCTTCCCAATGCATTCTCTAAAGCAGGTCTTTTTTGGGTCTGTTAAGATCTTCTGTGCTCATACAGAGCAGAGCACGTCTTCACAGCTATATACAGCGTGACGCACTCAGTAACACATCTGCTCCTGAGGTGTTCCTCCAGAGAAGCGGGTGGCATTTTCACCTTCCCATGACTCCCTTTATTCTTTAGTGATGCCTACACATAACAACTGATCCTCAGCATCCACCATTGTATATTACACAGTTCCTAAGGACCAAGCCTTCCTCTTGGGGACTGTTCTAATAACTTCTTGCTTTCAGCTTGGCAGGATGCAGTGAAACTTCAGGCTGAAGCTTTCAGCTGATTCTGTGCTAGATAACTAGCCTAAATAACTGGAATCAAAGGGAATTTCTTGGCAGAGGCCCTTTGGAAAGGCAACACAGGGCCTGCTGCTCAGGTAAAAGCACCACAGTTCTAAGTAGCGGCTGAGGAATGTAAGGAAGGAGACAGTAACATTCCCAGAGACCCTTTTGCTTGCCTGGGTGACTTTGGTTTAGTCTCACCACATCAAGAAATTCTGACTCGGTGTGACATGAGATGTTTATGAAACATCTTGAAAAGTTTAGTGACCCCCAGTGAAGGGGGTGAAGAGCCAGTGTTATTGGGGCAGGCCAGGAGTCCCTAGAAGTGATTCCATGTACAAACCCAAGACATACATTAGAGGGAAGAGCAATGGAGTGCAGGAAGCAGATGGAAGAAATGCAGGACAAGACAGACTACTACTTGAGAGAAAAGGGTAAAAGAAAAGAGCCCAAAGAAATGAAAAGAACTTGGAGTTGTGTCAGGCCATGGATTTGAGCTGAAAACAGAGGCTTGATGCAGTAAAAATGCTTTTTTCCCTTAGGGGAAGATTGCACAGCCATCCTGGAAAATGAACTGTGTCGCCTTAAGGGTGGAAGGAGCTACCTGCTCAAAGATTTAGAATGGCCTTTTTGCAGGCAGTGTGAAGTGGATGTGTTTTTGGAGTGCTAAGCAAAGCTCAGGCTAAGGGTGGCTCTTCTGATCTCTTGCTGTGCTGCCTGCCATTTAGTGCAATGAAAATTCTAACAGAAAACATTTTTTCAAGTCTTTCAAAATGAAACATTTCTATGAAATGCCTCTGCTCCCCATCTTCTCAGTGAGTTGCCATTACAGGGAAATGTAAAAGTCAAAGGGAAACTGAAGAGTAACAAAGGAGAACCAAAAGATAAGGCTGCTTGAGAAAGGCAGCTTCCAAGTGATGTAAAGCCAAGGATTCTTGACTTGCCATAGAAAAGAGAACAACCAGACAGGTGCACTATGCCCATCAACATCTCAACCATACATTCCGGAAGTACTGAAAATGACTGTTCTACCAGAGAGAACAATCTAAAATTCAATGTTTTGAAAAAAATCAAGATTTTTTTTTTTAAAAAAATGAAATTAAGACAATGCATGTGAATTCTCTACACTTTATAAACTGTTAAGTCCTGAATCTGTGTGATACTAGCTAATATTCTGACTTAATCATATACAAAAGTGGATGCCCAGAAAAAAGCAGAATCCTAATGTATTTATTCCAAAATTTTAGTACTAATAGTACTGTTTCCATGACAATCTTAAACCCATGAAGCTGGTACTGTCCAAACAATGCTTATGAAAATGGAAAATCACTTTTAAAACCATAAATTATACATAAATTGACAACAAAAGGAATCATTATACTGACCGAAACCCAACTCTTCGGGTATAATGCAGGCAGTTCTTAGTGACATGGGTCTGGAAGTGGACAGATCTGCAGATTGCTCCACATTCAGGACACGTGTATGGAGATTTATGCTGATGAATTCTCTGGTGTGATGCAAAACTGCACTGGTTAGGAAGCAGCATCTGGCAGATATTGCATGTCTTCTAAATGATAAACCAGAATAGATGAGACAAAAGGTTTGGTTCAGCTCTACATAAAGTCTTGTGTCAAACACTGCAATATAGCAAATAAAGGTTAAATGTCATAACTGGGATGGGACCCAATGCAGTAGGCAACTACAAACACAAGCCCTGCTGACAGAGCTGGCAGGTGCTTGTAGCCAGACTGACTGGCATTCTGGGCCACAAAGCTCCTTCATACACCACTGACCACAGGAGACACACATGGGTTTACAGAAATATTACTCAGGTGCCTTCCCAGATTACCTTAACAGTGCAAGGGACCTACATACAACTCCAAAATCAAATTATCACTATTGTCTCTTATGGCTTGGGACTTGTGAACCTCACCAGTGACTTGCAAAGATTTAAAATCAAACCCAAGACTCCTTCATGACATCAGTATTTTTTTTTTAACATGTATTTGTATATTTTTAGGAGTGTTCTAAGAGTCTGGCATATGTAGGGACGTGTATACTCTGCAGGAATATTGATCGAATAAAGATCTCCAGAGCTGCATTATTAATTATTTACTAACATATGCATGAAGACATCCTGAAATAAATGCTCTGGGAGCACTGTGGCTTGAGCACAGTCTTTGTACAACGAGAGTTCTCCAATGTCCTGACACAGCAAGGTGGCAAAATGCAAACCATTGCATATACAGCATGTTAAGCAAAGAAAACCTGCCATCCCTGCAATGCAGATTCCACTGGCACTCCTGTCAGCCCACTACGGTACAGTTCAGCATGGGTAGATGCACTGCTGTCCTGCAAGGCTCTGCTTGAGTTCAGCTATCTACAGGGATTTCAAAATGGCACCTGCTCAGAGCCTTTGGGACACAGTAAGGCTGTATTGAGACACACAGAAATATTTACTTTGAAATGCCAAATACTTGGCCTTAATTGACCAAACAGTGGCCAGAAGTGGGGGACTCACAGCCTCAGGCTGACCAGAACTGTTTTGGGTTGTTAACTTTGTTGTAAGCTCAGCTAAAGGCAAAACCCTACAACTAGCCATAAGCACCACATTTACTGGGCTCAGTACCATTCCCCAAATCTCTCTTTGGCTGTTCCTGTATTAACAAGCTGTAATACAATACTGGTGGATCTGCAGCATCATTTGATTATGTAAGAAAACAGCAAACCAGAACTTCTTATTCCAGTAACAGAAATATTTGGAGGTTTCATAGTCCTTCCAAAGCCTTTGGCTTGCAGGACTTCTGAAGGAAACCGGGATGTGATACCACAGAAGAGCCACACAACATTCCAGCTCAGTGATCTTCCTGATTTTGCAGCAAGGTGCCAGACTCATTTGCTGACCAAACATGCCAATAATGCTCTTAGCTAAGGCCCCTGCTCTGCTATTTCAATGAGTACAGAAAATGTTTAATTTTAACTGATTACAGTAGAACAAGAAGCATCTACTGTGAAATTCTGACATTCAGCACGTTTGCTTACCATTTTATTTTGGGCTTAAGGTGGCATTAACTTCCAGTCTCTCATTCCAACCCACACCAAAATAAAACACAGTTTGTGAAAATCATCACCTGCCTGCATTTAAAGTCAAAGTTTCAGAAAAAAAAAAGGGTTAGAAGGAAAAATGGTGGAGGTGGAAAATAAAGATACACACATACGCTGAGTATGAAGGGAAATGAGCTATGCAGTTTCCATGGGAGCTATATACTCCTATCTATAACTAAGAGAAATATTAACATTCATTAGCCCAGATTTGCTACCTTTTCCCCCCAGCAAGTAGATGAGGGTTTCATTCAGCCAGAAAACCTGTCAGTGAGGCAATAAAAAATTAGAAAAAGGTAACAACTTTATAGGGAATGTATTTTCATTGCTAAGATTACTCTACCATTGCTTATTTTAAGCAAAACATTCTGCCTTCATAACAGGAATATAAAAGCAGCTACTTACTCATTGGAAACACCAAACTATACATTTTCCATTTCAGGAGCAATTAGAAGGGGTACTAGATAGAATAGTAAACTACAAATAACCTTTTTCCTATTACTTGTTTGCAAAATCGAAGTGTTTCTTTTTATTCTTTCTTCCGAAGGAAAAAATAACAATCTCATCTAACTTTCCTGTCTTCTTCCCCCCACAATAATGGCAGTTTTACAGCAAAAAAGCCAGTGCCAAGCACTAAGAAGGAAAGTAAGTCAGAATATTTCTCATCCAAGAAATCTTGGATGACTTCTTCTGATTTCTCAAGAGGTAACATCTAATGAAAAAGTAGCAACATATTAGTAATAAATGCCTATACAGAGTCTTTCTCCAGGAAACACTACCCCTACAGGATGCAACCAAACACAATGTATAAAACAGCGGCTGCTTAACATATGAAAAAGACTATGAAAAATGTTTAATTAATATTTAAAAGGATATTCCAACAAAGAACATTTAAAACTACATTTATTAAGTGTTCTTTTCAAATGGAAGAACATTAAAATAGCACTTCTTTTCACCCAGTGTTTTGTGGGATTTTTTTAAACCTGCAGTTCTTAAGCAGAGCAAGTTTCCATGAGGATACACAAACACCTGACAGGCAGCAGGCAATGCCAGCTGATCCTGCAGCTCTAGGGGCTTCCCTCCTTGAATAGCAGTACCTGGGAACCCACACTTCTCTCTCCACCTCCCTGCAGCTGCATTTTGACATTCTGTGAACATTGCAACTGCTTTCCTTTAGTAAATGACCAGGATAAACAGTACTTAAAGGACATGTATGGAGAGCAAACTCAGCAGCAACAGGGAAAAAGCACCAGACAGAGGGAGAAAGGGAAGGGCAAAAGGTTTAGTTTACTTGGCCATAAAGACAAAAATCCTCACACCCCAAGAGTGAGAACATCATTTTATCTTTGTTCTCTTTTTCATTTCTATTTTAGCCTCATCCTCCCAACCTATTCTCTCTCTCACCCAACTGTTTTGTCCTGGCGCTTCTTACTTGCTTGATTTTCCAGCACCAAAACCAATAGGTTTTTGCAAGGACAACTGGATCTTAGAAGGAACGTTACCTAATGGGCTTATTATGGGAAAAATACTATCTACAGTCAATAAGCACCACCAAATCAGTTAGTTAAAAACCGTCAGTATTAAGCAACTCGAGCTGGTGCAGAATATACTCATGGTCAGCTACTAGATCCTGTTCAGCACTGCAGCAACATCTATGGATAGACACGTTCTGCTGGAGGAAACTCCCTTAGGTAGGCACACTTACAAAGAGAAATTCACTTGCATGGCATTCCACTTGGAATCCAGGCTATTTCATTCTAACTCTGCTAGCCACTTAAAGGGAGGAGCTAAGGCAGAGCCACATAATCAAGGTTATTTCCACGTGCAAATCTCTTTACATTACTACCTGTAGTGGTAGGTGCAGTGGAGCTGCTTCATGGTACAGAATAGGTCCTACATGTAGTGAATATATCCTAACAGGAACCTGCCTGTGCTCCTGGGACAAGAGCATTTTTTCCTATCTGCAGGATTTAAAAATCTTTAGCTTGTCCACTGTTGTGTGATTCCCAGGAAGACTCCTAGGGCATTCCTGTCTTGAGCATGCTTGCAGGTTTTCACCTTCCCCTGCAGCAAGAAGCTGGAGAACCAAGCTCACCTGAATGCTTTGAAACACACCAGAATCCCTTTTAATTGGCACACCCCAACAGAGATCCAACCATATCATTTAATTAACCACCTTCACTCTGACAGGGTTATAAAATACATCGCACACTGATTAATATTAAGTTTTATTGAATGACGTATTTCTTTCAGGTCAGGCCGCATACATTAGTAAAGAATTTTCAAATGGTTTTTAAGTTGAACTCATTAGCATTTGTAAGAGAAAAAGAAACCAAACCAACTAAACCAATAGTCACACAGAAGGGAAGACGTGCAAGTGAGAACAGCACTTTGCACTTTCTGAGGAAGAGCTGAGGCAAACAGCAGGCATTCCTGTCAGTAGTCAGTGTGCCATTTGTCATTGCCTGAGTCCCTCCCTGCACGTGAGGGGAATGCCTCGCTCACTTAGGGCACTTGCTGAAAACTCTAAAACCTGAAGACCAATCGAGAATGAATCACTTAGAGCTATCATTCAGGTTGAATAGACAGGCTGTTAATGAGGGTGCCAATTAAGTGGATTCCACAGGCTAGTCAAATTCCAAAGCACAGAAAGAAGCATTAACATATTATTAGTAAAACCCATTATTATTTTCTGTATTATAATGTTCAGCTGTAAGAAATCTAATGTTAAATTTTATCAAAAATACACAGTGTCAATTTCAGACTTCAGGGGCCTAAAAAGATTCTAGGAAAAAGTCTTATTTAAGAAGTGTTGACATTCACTATGTAAGTGCTTGCAAGAACTTTTTATGGTTTTTGTTTATCATTTTAATCACAGAGGTTCAGATAATTAACAGCTAAATGAAAGTAAAAACATATCCAAAGTCTCCTAGGCTTATAGATGAAACATTGGAATGTAAACATAGGATACTCTACTTGTCCACTTGTGTCTGCGGCCTGCTGGAAATGAGTTGCAAGAGATGTCTCATCTTGGAAAACTTCATTGCACTCCAAACACTTTAGACTATGTCTACAGAGTTTCGATGGATCTTCATCTAGCGGCATTGCTGGAATGACAGGAGAGCTCGCAGGGGCCGAGATCACTGTCCCAGTTAAGCCAGTCTGGATCTTTGTTACGGAGTGCGTGCCAGCTCCCCCTGGGCTCTGGAGCACGGCCGCAGCGGTATTGCTGGAAGGAGATGCTATCATTTGATCTGCTGGGACTGGTTTTAGGATCAGGTGGGAACACTGCATCACGACGCCTTTCTCCTTGTGCCCACGAGCGTGGGACAGGAGACTACATTTATTGTAGAAAACTAAATTCTTTGTACAATGATTACAAGTCACTTCAATTCGCACACTCCTCCTGTCATAATGCTGGGTCAGGCTCTTCTCGAGAGCAAATGAGTCACCACACTCTAAACACTTGTAACCTCGTGTTGGTAGCGTGATTCCGGCATTGGCAGGGGGGCTAAGGTTTGGGATGTAAACTGGTACGGGATTGACACTGCTCAGCACCTTATTGAATGCTTCCACTACAGAGCTCTGTAGAGATGACACCACCTGCACTCGAGACACTTTTTTTGAAGGCTGGGAGGCAGCTGCAGTAATTATTGCCTGCTTGATTTGCTGCTGGGGTTTTGTTAGCACTTGGCGCAGTTCAGAGGTGGTTTGAGCACCCTGAGGCAAAAGGTTAAGGTTGGCAAGATGGACTGTCTTTGGCACAAGTTTGGCACTGGCAAGGCTCGATGCTGGCACCACAACTGTCTGCTGCTGGATGGCATTGGCAGCTTTGATAATGGCACTGCTGGCGCTCTGCACGGACGCAGCAGAGATGACAGTGGCTTTCACTGTGGTGTTGTTAGCCAGCTTCAGATTGATCACTTGGGAACCTGCTGTTTTCACCGCCGAAACAGGCAGGAAGGCAGTAGCCACGGGTTTGATAGTGACCTGCTTGGGAGCAAGTTCTGCAGATCCAACTGCATTGCTGACAACTGAGGACTGCAGAGGAGCTCTGGGAGGAGAGGAGAGAACAGCAGCTGAAGTTGGTGAGGACAGGAGAGATGTCATGGAGGTTACCATGGAAGCACTCTGTTCTGGTTTTTTACCAGGGTCCAAATCAACTTCTGGCAAAACTCTAGTAACAGTTCTCTTGATCTCCCCAGAAGAAGTCTTGATGGTTTTTATGCGAACCTTAGGAATTGCTGGTGTCGACCCTGCGGGAGAAGATGGAGACCCTTTGCTACTGTTCTCACTTGAGACGCTTCTGGGACTATCGGGCGGTTTGACAGACAGCTTCTTAGCACCATCAATGAGACTCTGAGACTCAGGAGATTTTTCAATAGCCCGGGGACTTTCACTCATGTCTTTTGGTAATGGAGAAGGCTCTCCTGAATTAGACTGTAAATCTTTACTGCTATCTGTAGCTGCCTTTTTAGCACTCAGTGCTGCGATTGCAGCAATGCAGGATGAAAGCTTTGCTGATGACTTCGCTTTGGACTGGGAAATGCTGGCAAGATTTGCATCACATTTTTCAGTACTCAGTTTTCCATCAAGTACCCTGTTCTCAAGAAGCTTCTCAGAATTGTCTTTTAGTAACTTGTCCTCTGCTTTTCGAGTTTTAAAAGGCTCATAGACACCTAAATTCATGGAGTTTGTATCTGTCTCTCGTTTAGCAGTTTTATTTTTATCTATGCTACTGGAAACAGTGATTCCAGATTTAATTAAGTTCTCCCCTCCAAGTGCCTTTAGTTTGTCATATTCCTGCTGAGATAGAGATCCTGCCAAGACATTTGCTCTGAAATTTGCACGCATCTCCTCTTTATCTGGTGGGTCATCTACTTCAATTCTCTCATCATCATCAAATTCTTCTGCACTTGATATTGGGCTGAACTGGTTGAAAGCTGAATCCTTCAGTGTAGTCTCAGAAGCTGACCCATCATCTTTAAGTGATTTCCCTTCATCTTTGCTGTAACTCTCAAGAGCTGCTGATGTTAGGAAGCCATTGTGCAAGCTATTGCCTGTGGAATGGTGGCCATCCTTATCCAGACCTTCGGAAGAATCAATAGTGCGCACATTTTTCACGATGACGCTCACCCCAACATCAGATGATGATGGGACATGGGAGTCTTCATCTGCGTGAGTATTCTGTTTTATGTGGCTTTCGTGGTCATCATGTCCAGATTCAATAGCTGCTTTGGGATCTACCATGTCTGGTATGTCAAAGGCTGCAAGAAGGTCATCAAAATCTGGGGTCTTCATATCCCCCATGGCCATGTATTTGATTGTAAGAAAATCTGTAAAATAAACAGATAGTCATCCCTTTAAGCTCTAGTAGCACAGTCTTATACAAAGCAAGTACTTGTTCACATGTCATGCAAAGAAGTGTTATTTCACTTCTGAAGTAGTGTTTTCAGAGAATACACATTACAGAACAGTGTTCCAGTCCAAGTATACAGTTGTATTATTGCACCAAGAACTACAGTAATTCATAAACTCCACAGATGGTAACCTGGCAATTTTATTTTGGGCCCAAATTGCAGTGACTTTCTTCCTGTTCCCCCTCCTACTATACCACTCCCTTCTATCCTCACCCACCCAAGACTGCAGAATACCTGGATGTACATAAAAATAACACAAGACACTTGTAATTTCTCTTAAGTCTTGACTTTTCTTAACAGTTGAGCTATTAATCTGAAGAGTAATAAACATCTGTAAGACTTAGGTATTCATCAGCACTGGCTACCTGGAAGTCATTGTGGAGCATGAGAATGCAACTGAGGAATATTTTTCAAGTATACTGGAATAGACCCAGACATTTCATGAAACAGCTTCAAATATATATAGAAGGGTTTGGAAATGTGTTTACACAGTTCACATAACGGTTTTGGGCCCTCTAACTTACGAAATCCTTAATACAAAAACAGATGTATGCATATTATCAAAACCACAAAGCAAGTTTCTATGAGGATTAAATGGAAAAGATTAAATGGAAAAGATGTGCAGATACCAAAGCATATCAAATCCATGTAAAGTGACAGCAAGCTTTGACACAGCTTCTCATAATCTGGGATACTAATTAGTTGCATTCTGGTTGTACATTTGTCCATAGGTGTCTTTTTACAGTTGTTGCATACATTCAAAAAGAGCTAGATAGTCTCCCTAGTCTGAAACTTCCTCTAATTACATATCCTGGAGTTTAACATTTACCCATAACAATGAATTAAGGCCTGCTTACACAATTCCTCCAAGTATGTTTAAGATCACAACTGCCCAGCAGAGGAGACACAGTTGTCCTTTACTGAGAACTACTGTTGCCCTTATCAAGAACTTCTCTCCTTCTTTAAACTTTTCAAGCAATGTTAAACAAAAAGGGAGATAGAGTCAGTTGTGATACACAAGGAAGAGAAGTTCTAACCTGGCCATTTTTTCACTCTCTTCCTCAATATTCTAGGGCACCCATCTTAAGATTGAGTATATAAACTATGTATCTACCACAACTGCCAGGACTCTGCAGCCATATCCTTCCCCCCCCGCCCCCCTTTTTGTTTTTTCCCCTCTACAAACCTTTTAGCACCTCTTTCCTTTAAGGATAAAACTCTGCCTTTTATCCAAGATCAAAATCAACTGACACCTTGGCTGCCAGACAAACCATGAGTCTAGTCCTTCTCTGGGTCAACATGATGCCTGTAAATACTTCAGAAGAGGAAGTAAGACAAGCTCCTGGTTCCCTAGGAAATCATGATTTTCCGGGAACTGGAATTTCTTTGAAAAGTGCTCTGAGAATGCTTGAGAAAAGTCATACAGAAAACCAGTTTATTTAAAAATTCAAGCATTACTTTGCTTACTTATCATTCAGTGACAAAAGTAACAAGGAAAAAAATCTGGATATGGCAAATAGAATTACACAGCTAGGGAGCCACAAAGCAGTGAGGTGAAATGCTTCTGGGTTCTGCTTTTCTGATGGTGGTTGAGAGAACTTCTGGGAAGAGAATGAGTCTTAAAAACTTGAAATAACAGATTCTGAATATACCCTTACTACATGGTTTTCCTGAATCTCTTCAGTCACAACACCCACCCCGTATCTGTGCGTCAGTATCTTAGTGGAAGTAAATTCTGGGGGTGAACCAGCAGTGGTTTATTTGTGCTCCTGCTTTCCCAAAGCACATGTGTGTGACTCCCTACATTGCTGTTTCTTTGGGAACACATCTCCTCAAATGTTTCCTATGAATAGCATGAAGAAGATGGCATAGATTTTAGCCAAAGCAAGGCACTCCTTGTCCGTTCCACTGTCTTGCTTCTCCCTGTCAGCCTTTTTACTCCAGTACACCTGATACCACATCCAGTGAAGCACTCACTTGGGGAATTATGTCAAAACAAGAATCACACCATGAGAACTCTCTTCTGACAGTAGAAGAAGCAAGCAGGACAAGCAGGACTTAGAAGTAAACAGCTGCTTCTGAGGAACTGACTTTTTATTTTACTGCATGGAAATGTTATCACTCCTCCTCAACCCCTGTATGTGCACCTGTCCCAGGCAGAAAGACTCTAGCCATATGAGGAAAAACAAACCTACTCTTTCATGTTCTCTGTTGAGATGGAGGGACACAACAGAGAAACACACACATTTCTTCTTACTTTTCAAGTCAGATTTATCTTGTAGCTCTGGCTTCTGGACACCTGCAGATTAGGCCCAGCATTCTCCACAGAAAGACCAAGCTGCCTAGAAACTGTTGCTGAGATTAAAAGGGACTTTTCTGGGTAAAGCCAAGCAATTGGGAACACTCCAGTCAGAATCGTTCTGGGGAAGTTCAACAGCCTAATCAAGACATGGAAACAGAATAACCTGGCAGCTCCCAGCCAGGTCCTATCTCCAAACTGCTCAGACCCCTAGTTATGTCTATCAGGCGTAAGATCAGCTTCAAGCTTTCCAGAAATGGCAAAAAATCCTCCTCCCTTCTCAATACTTTTGCAATTAATATCCCCCATGCATGAAGGCTTCTATCATTTCAGGATCACAAGCACGGTCTTACATGCTCAAGTTTTACTTTTATTTAATCCTTCACCTCTGAAGAACCAGACAACTTTTCCTCCTTAACACTCACCTTCCTATTCATCCAGATCCTCCAAATAGCTAAACCACAAGTCTAACAACCTCATACAATTGCTTTAACTTGACCAGACCATCTTTTCTACCTTACTGAATTCCTACCCTTTGCCTTCAAATTCCACTTAAATCTCTAACTCCTTGCTTTTGTTCAGAAAATTACTCAACTTCAGCTTCCCTCAGCAGCAAGTCCCTTTGTCATCAAAGAAAATAGGAAAACCACCAAATTGAATCTTCATCTACCTGTGGCATTCATGTTCTTGTGACTCCATTCCTTTACCTGCCCTAAACTCATTTGTACCACTGTTTGTACTACATACATTTGTGGACTGTGCACCCTTTAGGACGGAGACCTTTTCTTTTGCACGTCTTTCCAAAAACACCAGCATTCTTTCCAGTTTTGTGAAATGAGAACACTGAGAGAACACCGAGCCACCTCTTTTCAGGGTCTGGCACATGGCACTGTCTTGGTTCTGGTATAGCCACATACAGAAATTAGTCCATTTTTTCTACTGAATCCCAGGCAGACACACTACTCCAGAGCAAAATTCCAGTAATCTGGGAATAATTACTCCACTTCCAGACAAGAGTAATGATGCCTAAGTAACATCAAGCTCATTCTAGAAGAAAATGCCGACACAGGGAGCAAATAATACCAGACTAACCAGCATAAAACCATACTTATTTGGGTTTTGGTTTCTGTACTGCTGTGACAGGAAATTTCATCAGGTAAAGAAGACATAAGGAATTCAATCAGAATTATAGGAACGTAAATCCTAACATTAAGCAAACTTCATCCTAATACACAGATCATGAGCAGCTGATTGGTTATTAGTAATTATGACTGACTTACACTTCCAGTCATTTGCTCTGAAAGCCAAGCGCTGTAGACAGACAAAGCAAAACACTAATCTAACCACAAAACCTTCTTCAGGAAATGGGAACCACATCTCCAATCACAGCCACGCCTGGTTTGACATACTCAGGGCAAGTGGGCTGTGAAAGAGGCCACTTCAACCACAGTCAGCAATGGCTCTCATGCTCATATACAAGAACTACAGGTTTTTTTTCACTGTCAAAGGGCCCGTGACCTGCAAAACCCAAACACCCCTTCCACAAATCACAAAAATTCCTTTTGTAATAAGCAAAATAAATCTTACCCTAAGAAATTTTGATTTCTCAGGATAAAAGCCTTATTTAGCATCCATTTAGCATCCACAACATCAGTAAGGTCATGCCAGTCCTAATGTAAACATTTCTGTGAAGCATGGGGTGTTTCACACTTAAAATTTATCCCAAGAACCTACTTTTTCTATATCTACCTACCTTCAAAAAAGGGGAAAATCCAATTTGTTTCCATGCTCAAAACTCTACGAGTAAAAGACCTAATCCACCATTCTGACAGCTAAAATAGTGTTACTTGTCATTTATGACTCCTTAGGAGCCTCATCCTTTAGTCCAACACATCAATTTTTGAACTGGGTATCTCAGGTTCTCTTTTGGTATGAGAAAACAAGAAGGGAATCTTCTGGAATCTGAACCATTGCTAGCACAGCTTGAAGGAAACCACACACAGCTGGTTCAAAGTCCAGGACAATCAACATTTGGCAAGCTAAAAGAACAGGGATGTTTCAACACATGAGCAAGGAATCTCCTTATGCACAACATGGGGCTGAACAGGCCATCCCCAGCTGGCCGCATGAAAACCACCTGTATTTATCAAGAGGTACAGGCCAGGGTTTGGGTCTGGCCACTTCCGAAATCCCTCCTGAAACAGAGATGAATTCCTAAAAAGCAGGAAAATCTACATACCATTCTTTTTGCAGTCTACTTAGAAATTAATTACAATCATGGCTTCATTTTGTTCTTCTATATATAAAATAGTCTGGGGCACTAACAAGTGAGTAATTCAGATGCGCAACAATGAAGAGAATTTTGAGATTCCCAAACTAATGCAGATTCAAATTACATTGTAATGGCACAAACTTCCCGCCTCTTTCCTTTAAGGCACTTTTTTTGAAGTGGATGGCAATTGTGGCCCAAGCACAGCATGAGCAGCTGCAGCTTCCCAGAGACCTCTCCCAGGCAGGCAGGGCCCATGAGGGCAACAAGCAGGCCTGAGTACATTAGGGTCAAGTTTGGGTTTTTCCGAACATATATTCCTGGTACTCTGCTGCACATTTGTATTTTAACACATAGGCATATGGTTAGGAAAACAACAGTTAGTCAATTCATTCCAAAGAGACTTGGAATGTGATAAATCCCTACCCTCATTCTGGAGATCAAGTAACTGAGACCAGTGCAAAATGAGATCCTGGGTGCTGATACAGAAGACCAGCTCTCCAGCATTAGCATTTGCTGCTGGAAAGCTGGCCTGCATGCACAATCCAAATCTCCTGATGAAGAGCATTTACAGATATTGCTAGACTGAAAAAAGACAACTCACCAAGAACACTGCAGACTCCATCTATTCAGTTTTCTCATCTTACAGCCAACAAAAATCCCTGCAAATTCAAAATCTCCTTTGCTAAAAATAAAAATTCATAATACAGATAGCATTCAAAAACCCAAACAAAACAGATTCAAGGAATTTTGTCACAACCCAAGAACTCAGAATTTCAAAGCTGCCTACCATTCTGGCAGAAGGAAAAAAAAAAATCCCAAAAGATACTCTTGTGTAATATATGAATTTTAGCTGACACTTGGAAAAGAACATGCATCCTCATCCGGAAGAGATCCTATTCCTACCATGCACCAAGAATTCCTGTTTGTAAGCATCATTCTGCTACAGACGTCTATAGTCAAATATAGACCCTCTGCATCCCGATGCTGAAGAACAGGAGCAGAAACCAGCACTGTGATCTGTCAGGCATTTTGCTCCACCACAAGCTATTCACTGCTCTATCAAACCTGAAAAACAACACACCACAGCTGCAGTAAAGCCCACAAACTCAGAATTTCAGGCCAAATGTTAGCATGCTATTTTCACTTTTCTACAATTAATAGCTCAATGCCTTACGTAATCTACTGCAGTCAGAAACAAAAAAGTTCCTTTATATTGTCACCCTATAGCAGCCAGCACACAACTTACCCGGTATCCACAACCTCTCAAGGCTTTTAGGACTTATTCTGCTGAGCACAGAGGAAAGAACCCTCATTTCACACCACAACAGAGTATTTCCAATGTTCTGCCTCCATATTATCTTGATTGTAGATTACCAAACCAGCTAACACAGCCAGGACTGGGAAGATTTTTTTAAAAAATCACACTGGTTAGGATTCTAGAGTTGCTGATTTCCTGTTATAGGAAGTAACAGTTCTAGCAAAAGAATCCCCCAGGCAAAATGTTTAGTGATCCACTGTGCAAGCTCTAACAGCCTTTGTTCTTCCCTTTGCTAGATTCATTACTGCTTCCTTCTCTCTGCCCCTCTCCCTCTCTCTGAATCCTTCAGATTTCACAATAAGATAAAAACATCAGCTCAAATCCAAGTACACATTTTGTATTTTCTAGTTGAGAAGGAAAAACTAAAAATTCTATCATTATCCACTGCTTTAAGTTAAAAGCAAGTCACCCCCCTGCAGCTGCTGCACTGTCCATCCGGTTTCCTATGCACAGTATCATAATTCACACCACTGATAATGAACTGGAGCTCCATCCAGTCCCCCAAAATATATCTTTCCACTTAGCTGCTGCAAAATCCTCCCCAGGTTAAAACAGTTTAAGAAAAACCATCCATACTATTTCTTTTGCACAGGCTTTTTTGTCTGTAGGCAATATTAAGTACACGTTTAACACCAAAGACCTTAATTAAAAACCCAGTATTGGGTCACTGAGATGTGGTCAAACAATAACGTGTAAATAACCAGACAGCAAATTCTGCACGTGTGAGTCTCTAATACAGCACAGAACAGCTCCCTGCCACAACTGGTCCACAATTCATGATTGTCATTCAGAGGCCTATTCCATATCACTACACTGTGAAAAAAAACACGTATCCGGATATATTTCAATGAAAATACTGTATTTAGCCAAGATATCAGTAAGTCTTTACAAATAATAGCTTTAATCCTATTAAAACTGGAGGACCTTGATAGCATTTCTTCAGTAACACTTAAACAATTGACTCCTTCCTAATGTGCCAAATGTGCAATCAGGATGTACCTCCACGCTATTGTTATATTCAGCCCAAACCACCACATCTCACCTTGTGAACCTTGACCTTTGAGAGATTTTTTTTAGCCAGCGCTCAGTTACTGCCACAGCCGCATTACCTCTGCAAACACCAAAGGGTTAAAGGCAGCCCCAATCAATAGGCCTACAAGGAAAAAAAAAAGGGAAAACGAGTATGCCTTACAGCATCTTTTCAATGCTTTTATGCACAATTCTACAATATTGTTTCCTTCTGGCCTTAGAGAAAGGCACAGCAAACCCCCCCTTAATGTCTCCTAAAGAAGCAAACCACAAGACAGCACCCTGTAAATAAAACAGCATGCAAAGCATCCTCAGTCACAAGCATAACTACAATTACAAATAATTCAATCCATTTTATTTAGTTTAGTTTTAAAATAGACTGCATAACCAGTGTCCCACCCTTGCAAAGCAAAAATATTTTAGTAAGGGTCATAAATCTCAGCTTTTGCCCACTCCTTAAGCATAAAAAGGCACGAAAAGCCAAAGTAATCTCAGTTACTGCAAATATGTACATTTACATACAGAACCCTTTATGACTACGTTAGCCACATACCAGTGCTGTGTGTCTAAAGTGTGCATTCACATACTGTTTTGGGATGGTATCTTTCTGCAAGCTCCTCTGCTTTTGGCTGCCATGAAGGGAGGAAGCTATCCCAGTGTAGTAGCTCAGTGACTGCATTGTGTTCAGGAGCTGATCTGCCTCAAACCAGTTCCAGCCGGTTCTGGTCACCCTACATAAAAAGCTATGGCAACCCTTGCTGAGTTGCCAACAAGACCCTGAAAATCGCAGGGGCTGGTTTTTGTGTGGCGTGGGCCGACACAGCCCTGTGCCCCGGCTCCCCTCTTGCCCGGCCCAAGCAGCCCCTGCTCCCCAGAGCCCCCCGCACGCTCCCTTGCTCGCCTCCCCCACTTACCTCCCACAACCTGGCTGAGAGCTGTGTGTGCGTGCCTGTCTGTAGCTAACAAAGAGACCGCAATAAAAATCCTCACAGGATCTCTCTTGCAGCACCAGGCAGGCTCGGCCACAGCCCTGGGAGACAGGCTGCTAACCTGGGCTGCTACCCCTCTGCTCCCCGAGATGAGAGGTGGCTACTCACACACGTCACATCTGCCCCCTCATGCCCACGGCCATGGGGTGCCCGATCAAGGGCTTCTCCCATCTGCCCTCCCCACTCCTCGTTCCATCTGGGGCCGCCCGAGTGGCATTTTCTGTGCTCTGAGCAGCGTTACTACAGAGTACCCACAAACGCGCCTCCCTCCCCTCAAGAAATCCATTTCCGCAGCAGCAAGATGCCTACAAAATAGTTCCTTTGCTCCCTTCTCGCAGCACCGACTTGGCTGCTACACGGATTTTTTTTTTTTTTTTTTTTTTTTTTTTTGCTATTCGGTTATGCTGGAGGCCTTGAGAAGCAGCGAGCTGCAGCCCCACGGCTGGGCAGCCCCCCCCACCCCCGGCTTGCACCCGCCGGCTGGGGAGGCCCGGCCAGGCTCTGCGCAGCTCCCACCCCGCAGACTGTGCGGACCGACCGCCTGTCCGGCCCTGCGCCTCTCAGGCGATGCCTGCCCAGGGTCTCGGCCCCTGCGGTGCCCACGCCGCTCCGGGGGTCCGCACCCACCTGTGACCGTGGCCGCTCTGCTCCTGCCCACTCCCCTTCACCTCGGCCACGCAAAGGCCTTCCTCCTGCATGGCCGACAGGCACCCAGACCGAGACAGCAGCCACCCCGCTCCTCTTGGCTACTCACCCTTGCTCTGGGAACACCAGTAACCACCTCCGCCTACGCGCTGAAACCCCCTCCTCTCGGAGACTGCGGGAGATGCTGCTCTGCAGGGCTCCCTCCGGGCGGGTGGGCGACCCCGGCAAGCCCCTCTGCCCCTGGCTGCACCTGCAACTGAACAGAGGTCTCGGGCACAACCCTGCACCCCTCCCTGCGGAGACACCTTCTTCGCATCCCTCATCCCCACCCCGTTCTGGGGAGAACCACCATGTTCTTCCGCTGCCTCGGCCCGTCTTCCCCAAACAGGCTGCTGCGGCCGCAACCGCGGCCGGCCCACCCTCGGCCCCTCGGTCCGGGGGCCGCTCCCTCCTCCGGGCTGCCGCGGCCCCGGGCACCTCCCCGCGGGTCTGCGCGCTGCCAGCCCGAATTGGCCTTGTCCGAGCGGGCCTTGCGAACCCTGGAGATGGCCGGGGAGGAGAGGCCGTGGCCCCTTCGGCGGCGGGGAGAACGATCCGCCCCCGGCCGGCCGGCCCGGAGCCGGCAGCCCGGGCAGTCCCTGCACGGGTACCCGCGGGGCCCCGGCCGCCGCCGGGCCGGGAGGAAGCGACCCCATAGCATGCAACCTCCGGTCCCCATGCGACACACCTGCTGCGGCCGGAGCCGGCGGGCTCGGGCAGGGCTACGGCCCGCGGCGCGGCCCGGCCCCGCGTCGGAGGAACATAATGGCAGGAGGCTGCGGGGCTGGGCGGTGGGGGTGGGGGTGCTCGGCGGCACAGATGGGGAGACGCTCCCGTGTGATTCCGTGTGGAACGGCTCCCTGGAGAGTGCCGGGGGCGGGGAGGCTGCGGGGCCGCGGAGCGCCCCGGGGCCGGGTCGCGGCCTCCCGCAGCCCGGACAGGTCGGTGGAGGGCGGGGGGGGGGGGTCCCCGGCGGGGGGGGGGGGCAG